GCATTCGATTTCGTAAAGTAATGTGTAATTACAGCTTTTATAAAGCAATTTCCGTTTCCTTTCAATCGACGGAAATAAAAGATGAGAAACTCGATAGCCACGGATTTTGTAAATTTTGCCGTACACGTCAATCGAAATAAATTTGCATAATCATGAAAACAAATCTCGCTCTCCTCGTTAAACGGATGCAAGTAACCGTTAAACGGATGTATTTTATTTTAAACGGATAGGTTAACCGTTTAAACGTTTTGTCGAAAACGTTAAACGGATGAGCAAAGCGTTTAAACGGATGAAGAAAGCGTTTAAACGCTTTAATGATCCGTTTTAAACGGATAGTAAACGGATAGTAAACGGATTGATTCGTTAAACGGTAAAGCGTTAGTGTACGAAATCCTGTGCCCGGTCACACTTTTATCAAAACTGCTGTGTACAGCAAATGTGTTGAATCACATCAAGATAGAAAGGAAAATCAGACAAAGTACATGTATATTTGTTACAATTGAAAAATATGCTAAGTTTACTGGGAGATGTGAAAAAAACTCAGGAGTTAACCCATTACACTCTTCCATCAGTGTGCAAGTTCTCCTTTCTGTTTTCTATACTTTTCTTATGATAGTTACAAGGAGAATTTGTATAACAATCAAGAACTTCTCGAGTTTGCAATCATTTATTTCCCTTACTCCTATTAACTTTTTGTATGATTCAGGGGTGGTACTCAAGGCTGTGCTCTAGCAGTGCCCAGTGGCCCCTGGCGCCTTACTTTTACTCTTGGGTGACTCGGGAATTTTAGTTTTTTCATACAAAGAATATGCTGGGCACCCTGGATTTCAGGTTCAGAGCACTGGGCTCCATTCAATTTTCCTTCAAGCACAGCCTTGGTACTGTTGGGAAGAACTTGATACTTAACACTCTCAGGGGTAGAAGGGTCAATGCATTTCCACCTGTTGCATTGTGCAGTGCGTCCAACTTGCTTGTGTTTTAACTTCTTTGTTAGGATTCAAGCCGACCCACGACTGCTGCAAGCAATTCTTTGTCCACTGTTGACCCTAATGTAGATGATCTTTATGCAAAATACAAGAAGCTTCAAAAACAACTGGAGTTTTTAAAAGTTCAGGAAGAATACATTAAGGATGAACAGAAAAATCTCAAAAAGGAGCTGCTACATGCACAAGAGGAAGTGAAACGCATCCAATCTGTTCCTCTGGTTATTGGTCAGTTTTTGGAAGCTGTCGATCAAAACACAGGAATTGTTGGCTCTACAACAGGTTGGAAACTATAGAATCTTTACGTAGGATGCACGATCCTCTCAGTAGATAGCGCTATTTAAGCAATAGCGAAAATCAGGCCTGAAAAAATCAGGCCTGTACGGGATTCGAACCACTGACCTCTGCGATACTAGTGCAGCGCTCTTACCAATTGAGCTAACAAGCCAACTGGGAGCAAGCCGTTAAGTTGATTCGTAATAAACCCGTGAAAGTGATAAATCAGATCTGACTTTCACGGGTTTATTCGTAATAAACCATCCTCGCAGTAGATAGCGATAACAGTGATAAATCAGACTTTCACGGGTTTATTACGAATCAACTTAACGGCCTGCTCCCAGTTGGCTTGTTAGCTCAATTGGTAGAGCGCTGCACTAGTATCGCAGAGGTCAGTGGTTCGAATCCCGTACAGGCCTGATTTTTTTCAGGTCTGATTTTTGCTATTGCTTAAATAGCGCTATCTACTGCGAGGATCGTGCATCATACGTATCTAATACCGCATTTCAAAATATATGAACTTCATATATTTCATTGTATCTGATTTATCACTTTCATGGGTTTATTACGAATCAACTTAACGGCCTGCTCCCAGTTGGCTTGTTAGCTCAATTGGTAGAGCGCTGCACTAGTATCGCAGAGGTCAGTGGTTCGAATCCCGTACAGGCCTGATTTTTTTCAGGTCTGATTTTTGCTATTGCTTAAATAGCGCTATCTACTGCGAGGATGGTGCATCATACATATCTAATACCGCAGTTCAAAATATATGAACTTCATGTATATATAGAATCTTTATAATTTGGATATATCAACAAAGTTGAAATGGTAAATTGGCCACCGTAACGATTACAAAAGCTGACGTTTCGAGCGTTTTTTGACCCATTCGCTCCGACGAAGGGCTAACGCTCTAAACGTCAGCTTTTGTAATCGTTACGGTGGCCAATTTACCATTTCAACTTTGTTGATATATCCAAATTATTTTGTTACTCCCACCGATACAGCCCCAAACAGTTTCTTTTGAAACTATCAGCCTTTATTCATTTATAGAATCTTTAATTTCACTGGTAACAATTTAAGAATTATGCAAATGAAAAATGAGGGGAAGTTAATATTACTCATTCAGTTCAATTAGACTAGAGGGAAATGTGAATGTGACATAGTTTAGGTTTTAAATTCAGTAGTGGAGACTTATGATGCAACTGCTTGTTTATTGCTCTAGCCAATCTCTGATGACTTCTATTCTATAATAAAATCCTCAAATTTACACCCAATTAAGACTTTAAAACTCAGCATAACTTGTTAGTAAGTATGTTTTAACTGTTTTTAATTGGTTAGGGTCAAACTACTACATTCGCATACTCAGTACCATAGACCGGGAACTTTTGAAACCAAGTGCATCTGTGGCTCTCCATAAGCACTCCAATGCACTTGTTGACGTCCTTCCTCCAGAAGCTGATAGCAGTATAGCAATGTTAACCGCTGATGAGAAGCCAAATGTAGCCTACTCGGACATTGGTGGAATGGATATACAAAAGCAAGAAATGCGAGAAGCTGTTGAGCTCCCTCTTACACATTTTGAGCTCTACAAACAAATTGGTATTGATCCACCACGCGGCGTTCTTATGTATGGTCCCCCAGGATGCGGCAAGACCATGTTAGCCAAGGCAGTTGCTCATCACACAACAGCTGCCTTCATTCGTGTTGTGGGCTCAGAATTTGTCCAAAAATATCTTGGTGAAGGACCCAGGATGGTTCGTGATGTATTTCGCCTGGCTAAAGAAAATGCACCAGCAATAATTTTTATAGATGAGATTGATGCAATTGCTACTAAGCGATTTGATGCACAAACAGGAGGTAAGAGATTCAACGTTTCTTTGTGTTTTCTCTGGGAGGATGTGGGCAAAACATGGCCAAGTGGTCAGCTGACTAGATTCTAGTATCAAGAGTGATGGGGCAGATCATTAAGTTTTATTCCTGGGCAAGATGCTTAAGCTGTTATAGTGCCCCTTGCTACCCTGGAGTATAAATGAGTATTTGCAAATGGTTAGGGAAACCTTGCAAAAATGCTCTGGGGTTAACTGTTAACATTTTTATTGGACTTTGAATTCAATTTTATTTGACATTTTATTCCAGCTGACAGAGAAGTTCAGAGAATATTGCTTGAGCTGTTGAATCAGATGGATGGCTTTGACCAGAATGTAAATGTCAAGGTATGAAAGAAGACAAAATACTTTGTACACCAGCCATATCAATATGTAACAAACTGGATCTAGATCTTGTGAGTGACTGACTCTCAAGTGATCTTTTGGACTTACAGGTGTGCAGGATTTTTTTGAAGAAATGTAACAGCAGGTGAAGAGTGTAAAGGAAATAAAAAACATTTTTCATGTTTGAATGAAAAATAGTTAAGGCCTCTTAGATTTAGGTGGAGAATTCTGTGCAGTGACCAGACAACTCTGCAATCTCCAATGTTGAATAAACACCTGCTAGTGTCAGTAAACATTTGTAGTTACCCTTCAGTACCATTTTGATTAAATGATTAAATGGACAATTCAGTTAAGGCCTTGAGCTGCGGTATTTCTTTTATTTTTTTTTTTTATTCCAAGCTTTCACCAATCTACTGCATCGTCAGAGAAGGAAAGCTCAGAATAAAGAAAACAAAAAACAGTAGCTCAAGGCCTCAATCAAAATGTTCATTCACCCACTAGTGTGTAACAACTTGAGTTATCCAGCCTGTTTGTTGCAGTAAAATGTTACAACTAATTAGTATCTAGTGACTTCCAGAAAATTTATCTGTGTTCAAATAGTCTAACAGTACTACTTATGTTTGTAGTTTCTTCACTGTTATTTTTGTTCAAGTTAGCTTCACATGTACTCAAATTAAAGAACACTAATTTTTTGTCTTTTAATTTTATTGTATTAATGAGTAGTATGAAAATGTTTTTCTTGGAACAGGTCATCATGGCCACAAATCGTCACGACACTCTTGACCCTGCATTGTTACGTCCTGGTCGACTGGATCGTAAGATTGAATTCCCCTTGCCAGATAGAAGACAGAAACGTCTGATCTTCTCCACCATAACAGCTAAGATGAACCTGTCAGAAGAAGTTGATTTAGAGGATTGTATCCTTTTATTATTCTTCTATGTTTGTGTTTACTGGATTAACTTTTAAAAAAAAGAAGCATAATTTTCAACCGGAAGTTGCTTGAAACGCTAACTTTTCCGAATTTCTTTTTGTATTCTACAATGTATCCATGCACCTCTGTTAGTTTCTGATTGATTTTCAACTTAGTTATCTAGAGAAGGGTCTCATTTTTTTTTAATATGAGATTCCCGTTATCTTGATTCTTAATATCTCAAACATTGTGTCCTTGTTCACTGTTTAGTTGGACAGTGTATCACAGCACTCTTCAAGTGAATATTTTAAACTCCTGGCATATTTATGGTTTGAAATACCTTTCTTTGTCCAAAGTAGACTGTATTCCTGTTCATCAAGGTCTTCACTTTAGCTCAATGAAGAAAATTGCATAAATTTTGTTTCTTATTGTAAATCCTACATGAAGCACAGATTTTATTGGAAGAAAAATAACAAGACTCTAAATCAGTCACCTGTTTGGCCTCTTGTTGACAACTGTGGCAATTTTGAACCCTGTATCTTGTAGTGCTTTTATTTTTGCTAAAAGAAAGCAGTAGCAATTTATTTATGGGCAAAGACTAACATAGAAAACAAATGCACACCTTGACCTATTCATTATAATAGATGTTGCGAGACCAGACAGAATAAGTGGAGCTGATATCAATGCTATTTGCCAAGAGGTATGTTTTTTTTAAATATGTTGAGTGCAGGTGTGGTTTAAGTGCTTCTGTGATGAAAAAAAATTGTTCTTGTTATCATTCAATTCCAATTTATTCTGGGACAAAATGCACCATGGTAATTGTCCAGTCTCATTTTTAGAAAATGTGCATGATTTTATGTAAGCATCTGTTTATTTTTTCAATTATTTGCCTGTACCAAATAAGGATAGAGTTAAGCTGAGATGAGTGAGCTGGGCTGAGCGAGAAAGATCTGTCAGACACTCAAAAGTTTGATTTTGCTAAAATGTTCTGCCATGGCACATGATTTTGGGCGTTATGATTAAAATTGGCAGACACTCAAACAAAAGCAAGACCCTCAAGCCACAAGCCTGGATAAACTTACCAATAGAGTTATCTTTCCCTCACTTCCTTTGAAACACAGTTGCATTTATGAGGATGTGAGTGAATAATAGCTAGAAGAGAAAACTATTGTATGAATGGGATCTTGGAGGCTTCAGGGAGTTGAAAGATACACAAGGTTTTTTAATAAAGTGTGTGTTACTTTCTTTCCATAGGCTGGCATGCAGGCAGTACGAGAAAATCGCTATGTCATCCTAGCTAAAGATTTTGAGAAGGGCTACAAGAACAACGTAAAGAAAGATGAAACAGAACATGAGTTTTATAAGTAATGTTATCTGTGTACCAAGAACTGATACTTCTCACTGTCAATAAATGCTGATGTCTGAGGGCTGCAAGAACAACATGAAGAAAGATGAAACACAACATGAGTTTTATTAGTAATGTTATCTGTGTACCCAGGACTGCTACTTCCCATTGTGAATAAATGCCGGTTACTTGTGTATGTGGATGCCTTTTCCTGGTGATGTTAAAAATACAGTAAATGGCTTTTGCATGTAGGCTGGTAGGCTGACTTTCAGCCATTTTTGGGAGTTGATTTATTTGCATCAAGGAATGGTAGTAACTAGAATGGTAGTTGCTAGCTGCAAAGAACACTGCATTTCCAATTTTCGTTTCAAGTTGTTAAGGCCTCTATGGTTTTCCTGCATGCTAGAGTCCATTCACACCCACTTCACAGTGCTCCTAAGTACTCATAATCTAGAGCTCTGACATGTGCAAATTTCCAAAGGTTGAAGTGAACCTTACAAAAAGCTTCTAAACCTCCCACTACATTTAAACAATAGCACTGACAAAAAATTACACTTGAACGCCCCAAAAACGTCTTCTTAGAACTACCTAACATTTTTTAAATTTGCTTTTTAAAAATCTGCATCCTTAAGTTTGATATGCCACGATGTCTTAATTGAAAAACTTTTCTTTGCATTCTTGTCCTCAGCTCAAAAATTATTGCCCCTCTTTTGTTGTTAAAAGCTAGGCAAATAAAGATTTCTATATAACCCCATACATTTACTGTGCATAGAGTGTTGCAATGAAACCTATCTATTTAGTCTTAATGAAATGGAATGCTTAGTTAATGTATGGTGTTACTGGTATATGGAATTCTACAAACAACAACAACAACAACAACAAACTTTATTCATTAATTCATAAATTATAATTTCATAACAGCTTCCACCTGCATATAGAAGAGCCTAATTGAGGCAGGGAAAGAGACACACAAGATTATAGAGAGGAAAAGACGAAAAATATTTATACAAACAGTACCAGCTGTCGCAAAATAAAATTATGGTTTCAGTTGAAAATATTAAGATACAGAAATGGCAATGTGAATTACAGAAAATAAAAGTCAAGTCGTGTTTCAGAGCTATCTAAATTTTAGATAATTGGTGCATAATTTCGGAGATATCAAGGTAGTCATCAGATTTCAATAAAACTTCAGAGAGTTTATTCTTTAACTTTTTCCGGAATGTGGATTTTGGCAATTTTCTCATATCTGAGGGTAGAGAATTCCAGATTTTTGGACCAATTCTCAGGAAAGAACTACGCATTTTTTCAAGTCTTCTAATAAATGATTATACTGTTGAGTTATTGCCACATGTGTACCCTTTGGGTATCTTGTACGGATACGATACGGACAGAAGTTTTTAAAAAGAAGACAAACAACATTGAAATAATTAGAAACAACCAATCACCTGACAAAGCTCTTCATTCGAACCCGTGTTCCCGAACCGATATCGAAAAGACGACTGGGACCAAGGGTAGGAACGCCTGGGAAATTTTGAGATTTTCTTTGAAGATCTATACATTCCTTCCTACGGAAGTTGTTTCTTGGCAATATTATACTTTGTGTGAGACCTTACGGCTAATTCGAGTTACTGTTCCCAGAGGTGAGCCTATTTTATTAGTTTTTAACTATTTTCAATAATGCAACTGTTTTGATTCTAGGTGTTTCACCCAATACACAACTTGTTTGATTTTACTTTATGTAGCCAACGAACACGAGGTTCATTCATTTACGAGTAGAACAAAAAGAACGCTTGCGATCGATAGCACTGATAATTTAATTATCTTTTCCGTCCTATTCAATTTATTTGGCGAAAACCGAAGAGAATCAGTGTAGTTGTAACTACACCGAATCAAGTTTCAATTTGTCAAATTACCCTAGGTTTACAATGCTTTTTCTACACATTTAACTTTTAAACCAACATGTGTTATAAGTGGTTATTACTTATCAACGATAGAAAATGCCTCAGGGGTTTCTTTAAGTCAAATAGGGCATAGAATTGAACGAATTTTTATTTGCATTTTGTATTCAAGTGTCAAATGGTGTTGTGAAGATAGGGATAAAAGGTTTCTTAACCAGCAAATTTCAAATTCCCTATGCTGACCAACAGAACCTGTGTCAGGGTTAAAAATTTTTCTTTGTCTTTATAAGAGAGTAGGAAATAATGAGGACAGCTATCTTTTTAAGAAATTAGAGATCAATTAACATTTGTTACCCTACAAGTTTTTATGCTGGGTAGTTTGTGAAAATGATTGGAAAACCACTGTGTTTCCAAGAGGTGCAAGAACCCTCTGGGTTTGGTGCCTTGGGTGGGAAAAATCTTGGTGATCATTCCCATAATCCTTTAACTTAGTCAGAGTTTGAATTTGTGAAGAGATATTTTCAACAATAGATTAATTTGTTTGCTTATTTATTTTGGGCTCAAATTGAGTCCTACCTTAGCTGTAAAGCCAGAGATTGACAACTGAAAATAAACTTTAAATGTACACAATTATGAGAAGTTCGTGCAATAAAGTCTTCAACTTGGCCTGTGTAAAACAATGCAATAAGATAGGATCCACCACATTATGGATAGGATCCACACTGTGGGAATGTTAGAAAGTTAAAATTTTTGCTTTTGGTAAATGACCTATACCTGTGAAGCTCATGGCATTTTTCATGGAACAAAGCCTCTAACACCCTTTCACTTCACCCTTTAACTCCCAAGGTCTGATTGTTAATTCTCCCATCTGGCTGCTACACATTTCCTTGTAAATTGGTTAAGAGAATTTGGTGTTCAATCAAGGTAACAACTTCTACCTGATAAGTTTGAGTATTCTCATTACCTGTTTGCAAGATAATAGAAGGATATTACAGAGACAAGTTACATGTTAATCACTTCTGGGAACTAAAGGGTTAAACATGTGTAGTTCAACCAGGTGTAACAAAATGAAAACAGCACAGAGAGAACTGAATACTGAGTTTTCCATGGGACTCAAGTAGTCACTAACAGCTTAACCTTTTAACTCCCACAAGTGATTAATATATACCGTATTTATTCACTTCTAAGGCGCACCATTTTTTACGAGAAAATATGCTTGTTTGATCAAAATCTGCTCAAAACTTGGGGTGCGTCTTATAACCGAGTATTTTCGCGCAATGAAATGTTAAGATCACAATTTTAGCAGAACTTACAGTTACAAAGACTTGAAAAGAACACTAATTGTTGGTCAGTAGCTTTTTTAGATCTGGTTGTTCTAAAAAGAACTAAGGTGGCTCTGAGAAGAGCAGTTGTCGTGGTTCTGAAAGAGCCACTTCTCATACAGCCACAACTGTAACTAATCGCAAACAAGCAGGGCTTTTTGGTCTGAAATTGCATATAATCCAATCCTTTATTCCTATGAATTAAAAAGGAATACTGCTTTTAGAACACTGATCAACTTCAAAAGATCAACAACAAAAGCAAGCTTTTACTGCAAAAGCAAACAAATGGAGGTTTGCATACGTTCTTAACAGCATGTGCTCAGTAACATGATATCCATGACTACAAAACAATCGTTTGAACAATGTTTCAAATAGTGTCTGTGCCACTCACTCGAAAAGTGCCGTCTCTGAATAAACAATGTGGAGATATAACCAACCGCTTTTTCGTCTATCCAGCCTTTTTTGTGCACTGAAACTTACATCCTCTGTCATGTGTTGATATTCAGCTGTCGAACTGGGAGTTTTTTGCCATTTGCTTTCACCGCTAGAGCAACCGTGAAACTTTTTCAGATGCATCAAGTTGACAAGTTTGGGGTGCATCTTATAACTGAGTATTTTCACAAAACTTTCCATTTGGGAACTTGGCTTGACTAAGTTGCCAAGTTTGAGGTGCGTCTTATAACCGAGTGCGTCTTAGAACCGAATAAATACAGTAACTTCTCCTAATGATATCCATACATTATCCAATTAACAGGTAGTGAGAATACTCAAACTTATCAGGTAGAAGTTGTTACCTTGATTGAACACCAAATTCTCTTAACCAATTTAAAAGGAAATGTGTAGCAGCTTGAGGGGAGAATTGACAATCAGATCTTAGGAGTTAAAGGGTTAAAGACATGTTTTAAGCTTTGGTGTAAATGGGGTATTAGTTTACTTGTTTAGATCATTACTGTTGGATTATTACCGGATGCAATGCCAGTCTAGTATGTCTAGACCTTTCATAGTTATCTCCCTAGATTTCCTCTGCTTTACCTAGCAGCTTGTTGTTTTCTCTTTGTACTCCTGGGTGGGGAGGGAGAAAACTGTCTTGTCCAAAAACACAACACTATGACCCAACCAAGGTCTCAATACCAGATCCTGCTCTCCAGAATTAATTGTGCTAACCATTAAGAGCTGCTTGTTCAGAGGAAGTCTAAACTGGTTATGCAAGCAGTGGGCTGTACATATTCTCTTTAAGAGGGTTGTTTTCATCAAATAAAAGTCCTTCCACTGCTAACTTTTGGCCCTCTTGACACTGTTCACAAAAGTGAAAGTTCAGGTAAAAGATTCAGCTAAATTCAGGATAGTTTAGGACGTGGTTTTGATAAACCACGGCTAACCTTTGTTTAAATAACTGGCTCCTAAGCCACCACATCTTGCACACTGTTGAAGGATTAACATAAAAACACCACTGCCCTCCTTAAAATGACCCAAAACAAGACAGCTTAACCTTAACCCCTAAGAACACTTCACCTGCCAACTCTCATGCCTTGGATGTGTTTTTCACACCCATGGGCTGAAAAATGTGATCTTGTACTGGCTTACAACTAATTGTTTATGTCCAGCAGACAAATTTGAGCCATCATAAGTCTGAAAATTTTCTTTTAGCTTTTGTCACTGATTCAATTTGGTAAGTGATCTTTCTTGTCTTTTATTCCTTGAAGGAGCTGCTCCTCAAAGGGACTCTTTATTTTAGTGTTTAAAATACTATGGCAATGTACTAATTAAATCCTCATTATTTATTTTTTTTTAAAGTAACATCGTTGACCAGATCACTATTCTTTGCTTAAATGAAAAATTATGTTTGTTCTTATACTACTTGATATTGCCTTAAATAAATCATTGTTAGATTCAATCTCTTTTCCAACTCTTCACGGTATTTTGCCATGGTGAGGTCCTGGAGAGAGTCTTTACACTCGGCATAATTACATTCTCCGTAGCGGAACACGTGACCAAAGCTTGTATCCACGTGATGGGTGGTGTAAAAAGTTTCTAACGGGTTTGAAATTGCATTTAATTCTAACGAAAAAACATATTTGGGGGAAACAATACATCTTGCTAACTCCTCCGTTGGGGATTTTATCCTCGAGGTAAAACGTTGCGTGAAGAGAAGAGTGTGCGATCTCTTCTCCTCAAATGTTGATGTATCGAAAATGAATCCTTGAAAGCAGATTCCGGCGGTGTCTTCATCACTTTGACTTTCAAAGATATCAAGGGTCTTTTTACTTTGAAGGGGGACGATAAATTCGTCCAGTTTGTTAAAGGCCACATATTTAAACCGGTCAATGTTTCTATACAGGCAGTCATTTAAAGCTACGGTTTGTCCACCGTCTTGAATATTCGAAGCAATGTTCTGTGGTAGGGGCCACGGGTTCAGAGTTACAGCCCCTATTTCGTTGTAATATTGGAGAACTTTCAGGGTTTTATCAGAGAGGTTTGCGTCATAAAACACGAAATATGACACTCCTAGAATTTCCGAGAGTTCAAGAAATTCAACAAGTCTTCCAGCAGATATTTCACCGCTTATTGGCGGAATACAAAGTGCGTAAGTTTCTGTATCCATTGGTTGGTCTTCAGACACATGTAAGGGAATCTGTTTGGTGTTTTCGTCCGTTTGACGGAAGGACTCGGGTTCCAAAGATACATTCACCGAACACAACGTGTAGCTATCGATTTCTTCCGGCAGATCGCACGATGACAGATACCCTTGAAATGTAAACCCGTCGTTCGTGCCGAGTTCCTCAATTTCGACAACGCTCGTAAAATACTCTTCTGTTCTTAAGTCCATAAAGTGGCAATACATTTGAGGAGGCTCACTGTACGAAGGAAAAATTGAAATCATTCGAATGAATGTCTGATCCTTGAATCTGTAGTCTAGAAAAGCCGAGTAAATGAATGATCCTTCAACAATCTCGTCAAACTGTAGCTTTTCCCCTCGAATTCTTGAGCACCGCTCGTCATGCGATTTTTGAGGAGGAAAAAAGTCATCAGCTGCGAAAGCTCCCAAATCGTCGTTTTCCTCTTCTGAATTGGATTCTTGGTTATAAGAAGATTGTGTGGTTTCCATCTTGAGCTGTCTTTTTTCTTGTAGTCGTTGTGTATTTGTACTTTCCATCTGTGGGCCAAAGCTGCCGGGAAAAACGAGAAAAGATGATATTATGACCATCCCAACGGCTGCAAATATGCACGCTTTTTTCAAGAACCTCTTAGCCTGTCTTCGAGACATATTTTGTTAAAGGGTACTTGACTTAAAACAGACGAAATAGCACCGTCTGGTCACTTTTGCGTTTGCTGTCCTTTAATTCCTAGGGACAGGTCAGCAACTGTCTGACATAAACAGTGCCAAGTTTCTTCTGCCGTGTCTTCAAACGTATCGTTTGGATTTGAAGTGGAATCAATTTACACTCCGTTTTAATCAATTTAAAGACCAAGAGGTTAATTACTTTCTTTTTTTTAGGGTAGCCCGCCCTTTCACAATCTTCTTTTCAACTTCGACTTGATCCAAAATTGTTTCAAACTTGCTAAATTAGTCGCAAATTACTGATTTGTGTTCCTTTCAGTGCAAAACATTTATGTCAAATCGAAAAAAGAATCGTTCAAATCGATGGTCATCTATCATTAAGCACACATGGAAGCGAATAGATATCTCTGTGGCATTCCGCACATAATTGTATGATATTTCATCAGTGGAACATGATGTTTTTATTATCTGCTAAGAGCTTTCCTTATTAATGTGGCAATCCAGATCTTCTCCGAAAGACTTAGAATGATGGTTATCGAAGTGTTTCAGCAAGAACTGTTCTCTCGTTAACCAAAAAGGAATCTCATCATTAACATCGTCATTTTATTTTATCGCTTTGATGACATCAAGGTAATTTTAGTATGCAATCTGCGTAGAATATTTGGGAACGCCTTTATATCTGATAATTTTCATTGCGACATGGCGAATGACATCTGATGTAACAACTGTAAAGTAGCACCTTGAAATACTTCGACGTCTTACAGAAAAATGGAAGGAAATGAAAAAAAATTGTAAAACTCTTATTGCCTTATCTGGAGTGGACTAAAAAATACCGACAGAATTTTCGATTGACTTACGCAATGCGGGATATAATTAACTTTGCCTTACTTCGCTCTGTGATCGGTCGAAAAAACATGTGCATTCCTGTCAGCCAATCAGATACAAAACTAAAAACTTCTGCGTCCTGATCTCTTAAGTCTTCCCGCGTTAGCAGTTTGCTTGATTTTGCTTTGAGTTGTCATCGGCATCATGTGATATTTTTATTTTTCTTGGATTGGCTGTGGTTATTGCTTTGTTTTGGTTTTACGCGACTCAGTACAAATGCTCTCGTAACGCTTATTTATGGCATGTTTTCCTTTCCATCTAGATTTGATCAAGTGAAAATGAAGACCACGAGAAAAATCCTTATTTTTGCTTTCGTGAATGGTGAGTTGAATCCTGCTTATTTTAGGACTGTAAACAGTGCCAATTTTTGCAATATTTTGCAGAGGTTTTCCTGTGTTCTGCACTGGTTGCATCTTTTCCTGTGCTCGCCGCAAGTTGTGGCATGCTTTCCTGGGCGTAGTACTAGTTGAATGTTTTCCAGAGTTTTGCGCTGGTAGCATGTTTTTCTTCCTGTAATCAAACTTGATAAAAGCATTTATCATATCTTACCAGCAGTGCTCCTATTGGCAAAGTTTGAAACGACAGCGACAAGTGATGACAACAGCCAGTCACATTGTTCCGCTGAAGGAAAGTGTACCCCGGATGAAAATGGTGAGTCACCATAACCTCGCAATGAAAAAAAAAATGATCTTGTTTTAATCAACTGTCTCGTGTGTTTTGGTCGCTCATTGTAGCTACTACTTTGTGGTGATAAATACAGTTTTTCTTATGTTGATACTAAAAGCCCTATTTAATTGGTAAACTTGTTACGATAGATTTTAAACTCTTTTCACGGGCGTCACCCGCGAGAAGTTACGATTGGCTGCTTCAAAGATGTTTTTAATGCCTGTTGTTGTCTCCAGCCCATCTTCATGACGCCGAAGCATCAACTGAACATGAGCAAACATCGCGTTACCTCAGAGATTCGGCCCCTTTGGTACCCGATGGCAAAGAGCCCATCTTGATATGGTGGACAAGTGATCTCTTTCCACATGACCGTCGACAAAAGAATCACCAGATTGTTTGCGATAAAGGCTCGTGCGTGACCTCGATAGACCGCGAGCTCCAAAACGACCCCGCCACACGCGCGTTTATCTTTTACGGTACAGACCTCCGCGCCGACGACTTGCCACTCCCGCGCAGGCCCTGGGACGAGTGGGCAATCTTTCACGAGGAGTCGCCAAAGAATAACTGGATGCTGACATACGAGGACGCCCTCGTGTAAGTATTGCGGGGATAATATGCTTATCATTGTCCTTGCGCAGGATTAAAATCTTGAATATTACTGAGATTTCTCCACCACTATTCAAGACCTAAGAAACGTGCAAACTTCAGAGTCGAGGAAAAGTTCCTAAAGTCTGTAACCGGCTTTTTTTTTATTTTAGTACTGCACACGTTCCCTTATTGTGGCTTTTTTTCTACGTTTTTAGTCTTTTTAATCACACTGCCACATTTCGCCGTGAGTCTGACTATCCACTGTCCACTCACTACATCAAAGATCTGAAAGAGTGGACGGATGCGCCTGCGGTACCCATCGAAGAGAAAAACAGGTCAGTAATTTTCTAATTCTTCTACCCAAATCTCTTTTCTTCTATTTATTTGTCACTGAGAATGCCGCGAAGTGAAAACTATTCTCTTCAATTCAGGTTGCTGTCCCTCGTTAGTAGGGGTAACGACTTCCCTGCAGGGCTCGACACTAACGGTAGCCCACTAGCCACAGACTAGTAGAAATTCAGTTTTGGCTAGTGGTTTTCAATTTCCACGAGCCAGTTTGGCTAGTAAACAGACTGAGATTGTCGTAACATGAAAAAACATCTAAGATGTCACTAGCCACTTGGCTAGTAAGTTAAAAAATTCGTGTCGAGCCCTGATACCTGGTCAGGTTTCGCTACATAAGCGAAGTAAGTGGTCGTCATCCTTGACCAGATTCGATACCATCAAACTTTCGTTCTCTTGACGTATTTCAGGAAGCCTTTTCTCTCTCTTTCTCTCTCTCTCTTCCAGGTTACAAATAGAGAAGGGTCTCGCGCCTATTGTGTATGTACAAAGTGACTGCTACACACCGTCAGACCGCGAGAGATACGTTAAAGAACTTATGAAGTATATTGATATTGACTCGTACGGTCGCTGCCTGAATAACAGAAAAATGCCCGCAGAGATTGACGGCTTCTTGAAGCTTCAGGATCCAGCTTATTACAAGTTTCTTGCTCAGTATAAATTCAACATCGCGTTCGAGAATGCCATTTGCAACGATTACATGACTGAGAAGTTGTTCCGACCGTTTCAAGTTGGCGCGGTGCCTATAGTGATGGGATCGCCTGTGGCAAAAGATTGGATGCCCAACGAGCGATCGGGGATTTTTGTGAGCGACTTCAGTCATCCAAAAGAACTCGCGGAGTTTTTAAAGCACCTTAATTCGAACGATGCTGAGTACGCGAAGTTTTTAGAGTACAAAGATCCAAAGCGAATCACGAACGAGTTTCTACACAAGGCTTTGAAAGGAAGACCGTGGCGTGTATTGGGGGAATGGGACAAAGTAAATTTCGGTCATCGTATGTACGCTGGCTTTGAGTGTCACGTGTGCGACCGCGTCCTTGAACGACAAGAAGCACTACGGGCTCATCAGAAGGATCCAAACCGAAATCCACCGCCTCCCCCTCGGTTTGCTAATAAGGAGCACCTCGAGTGTCCCGAGCCAACGGTTTCCTTAGCAACTTCAGAGAGGGTGAACAAGAGTGTGAATTACTGGGAAGGGTTGTATGAAGCGCGGGCACTGAAGGAAATGGTTTCAAATGGAGAGACAAATAGCACAAAATTTATATCAAAATACTTGAAAAGAAGAACCGACAAATACGACAAATGGATTCATTGATATTCTTTCCAACTTAGTTCAATTAAGGTAGTTAGGATTTCCATGATAGGATCTCTAATAGAAGTTACACAAATTATTATACAATATATAGAAAAAAAACAATCTAGAAAATGAAAGCAGATTTTTTTATATTTCTTTCGTTCCGTGGTCGTATTGTATGTGACAGCATTTTCTAAAGTTTTGGTTTTCAGTTTTCTCTCAGGGAAGGGCAAAGTCTTGATGTCGATGTGGAAGTTTTTGTTTTCGAGTGATCTTTTTACATGCCAACGTAAACCCCAAATATACTAAATTATGTTTTCTCTCGCATTAAAGGCATCCATCATCCCCTGCATTACAACAGAATATCAAATCGAAAAGACAAGTGGTGAACATCTCGACATCTCTTTACACCCTAGCATCATATTCTCTGTTCTGTTCTCTTGATAGTTCTCATCGTTGACAAGGAGAATTTGTTTAACAATCGAGGGTTTTCAAGTCAGTGATCATTTCCTATATTTCTATCACCTTGATATCTGAGTCATTAGTAAAACTATCGGGATATAAATGTTTATTTTTTTTGCCCACCTTTCGCTTGTGACACTCTCGTGGCGATTTACGTTACGCTCATCCATCCTCGCATGAAAAACGCAAAAATGTAAGTTGGTCAACAAAATGAAACATGATAAAATAAAACCTTGTTCTACAGACGAAACAACTAACCCAAGGGACCATATGTTGCGCTCTGACTGTTTAGGTTAAATGACAACGCCATCCAATGATTTTAATTTTCACTTTTTCCTTTCATCTTCGTTTTCTTCAAGGTGAATCCAAGATGTGATAAACTCCTTTTGCGTTCTTTTGAAGTCGCCTTCGCTTTTTAAGAGCAAAAACGCCTTAGTTTTTTGGCGTTTTGACCCTCCACGAGTGAACAACAATGTGTCTTGCGTAATCTTCATTTTTGCGTTCTTTATTTATTTATCTTTATTTGCAATATTTTAACAGGTTGGCCCAGTTTAGCTTAAAGCTGGTTTAAATGGGAGCCTCTACCCTCCTTTCGTGAAATATTAACAATGTGATTTCATCATTCTAAGTTTTATTCATTTATCAATGAATTATTGAAAAGAGGATTAAATTTGTTTTGCGGAACCAACGACAGTTTCCTTCTTCGATGTTTTGAACAATTCCTAACCGTTTGAGTCACACATGCTCACGGGCGTATTATTTATATTTTTATTTTGCCCTTTTCCAGCTTAAGAGAACATTTAAGTTACAGAATAGTTAAAACGGTGAAATAACTGTCCATTTTTCCACTCTTTCAACTATATATTCATCCCTCTGGGATTCTTGATTAGTCAGCTGAGCGTGCCAACAAAATTCCGAGCAAAATCTGTGACGTAGCAGCGATTATTGGCTGGAGTTGTTAATCCATATTCATCACACATTGTAGAATTTTCAGCAAACAAAGCTGTTGGTCGGAGAGGGAAGACTGGTCTATTCCGTTGAACTCTGGATAGAAGAAAACGCTCAACCCGCAAGTAAGAGTAAAGAAATGCTGTTCTATGCTCTTAAAACAGAAGGTGAGTGTCCTCTGAAATATTTTTCAAGCCTTAGGACTCGTACAAAAAGCTAAACGGGGCGCAACATCTTATACACGTGTCATTTGTTCGGTCTGGCGAACATTCGAAGTTCGTTTAATTTGGGCGAGGGAATCTCCTGTACAGACAGAGCCGCAGTGTAATAAATTGTGCTTGAAATTCATCGATATATTTTGGGCGAACGTAAAAATAAAAGATGTCATTCTGTTTTTGAAAGCGGACACGATAATAGTTGTAGTTATCTATCATATTCCTTCCTTACAGAGTTACGGGACAAAAAAAAATAACAAAATAACAAAACGCAATAAGTATTTCCCGCTCTTTATGTTCACGTCTTTGTAAAAAGTGTTTTAGTAATCTCAGTGCAGTAGTAGAAGCTAGTGGAAGTAAGCAGTCTTTAAAAGAATAAAGGCTGATAGTTTCGAAAGAAACTGTTTGGGGCTGCGTCGGTGGGAGTAACGAAATAATTTGGATATATCAACAAAGTTGAAATGGTAAATTGGCCACCGTAATGATTACAAAAGCTGACGTTTCGAGCGTTAGCCCTTCGTCGGAGCGAATAGAGGAATTGTGGGTTGTGTGTGCTTTTAAAGGCAGAAAATGGAGCTACGTTATTGGTGGGTGCATGGCAACGAGAAAAACATGAATAAATTAGTGGAATGAAAAGCGTTCATTGATCCCTGTGGGATTTAGACTGCCGGTTTGAAAGATGAGCTTTTGTTCAAGATTTTTACGGCTTTCCGTGCCACCTAAGTGCAAGGAAAGACCGCAGATTGCCATATGTTGCTT